GCTGCTCACCCTCGAACCTCGAGTAGGACCCGGTTTGTGTACTAACCCGGTGATTCCAGCTGGAATGGCGGCTACGCAAAGGATGCGCGCGTTGCCAGCCCTACCCCACTTTTCGATCCAGATCTAACAAAGAAAAATTTGTTTTATATCCATTGTATAAATGTCATCCTTAATTTCAACAAATAACAGAGATCAATGGATGAGGTGTTCTTTCGTGCTTGTATTTCCAACCAATATATTTAAGAACACATCCTTACCAATCAAAATAACATTCTATTCTGTGTGTCTGAAAGGCTATTCTTCCTTCCAGCCTCTTTCTTGAAATTATGAAATTAATAATGACTAGCAAACCTACTAGTTCTCTATCTCTTTTTCTTCTTAGCTTTATAACTATTTACTTAAAATTTTAACAATTGCACCAAAAGTATTACTTTGAAATTAGTTCTAATACAAATGATGCACAGTGCTAAAGAGAGCTATCACAATTGACAATTTGTTATATCCATTTTATAAATAATTGTTCATCTTTCACACTTGCCACATTAACAAATGATTTGTTGAATCTTCTTTTCCTGCTACTTCAGAGACACTGGAAGTCCTAAAATCTTCATAACCATCACCACCGGATATTACAAGCAGTTTACTGTTTCCAGTGCTTGTCTGGTCAGACTTGTTTTTCCATGAATGTCGGTTTTGATGCAGCTGGACAGTTGTTGTGGACACATCATTTGCTCCATCTGGGAATGCCTCAACAACAGTCAAGAAGCGGACATGGCCTGTATGACCATGTGGAACTCCTGCCAACAGATATGCAATTAATTTTTCTCAGAGTATTTTGCGGGCACTCTTAAGCAAGACAATATTTTTTTATACCTAAGACATTTGGTGTGGATGTAAGCCTTGTGGTTGCCGGTGCTATGTGAGGAAGCGGCATAGTCAAAATGACACCGGCACTTGTGCCAATCCAAAGTAAATCTTTGCAGGCCAATAATGAAGTAACACGTAAACAAGCAGCCTTGTGTTGTCGAATAATGTCATCACAGCCTTCAGTGTTGATTTTAGAGAAAAGAACAAGAATTAACAATGAACATTTCTGAAATTACCTAAATACTTAGTCAGTGAGAGGCATGTGTAAAAAGTAAAAACTTACTGGCTAACATTTTGGTGACAGCTGGTGCTACATTGACATCACCCAGGTGCTCAAAGGTAGATGCATGATAGAGTTTTAATACTGCTGAATTTTGTACTGATAGCCATACTGCTAAACCAGATACAACGAAGTATGTCACCGCTCGATTGCTGTCTGCAGCAACAACTGT